AAAAAAATTTCAGGCCTGTACGGGATTCGAACCACTGACCTCTGCGATACTAGTGCAGCGCTCTACCAATTGAGCTAACAAGCCAACTGGGAGCAGGCCATCAAATTAATTCGATATAAACCCGTAGATGATAAATCAAACAACAACAAACATATGAAACATATGTGTGAACTGCGGTTATGAGACGTATATGAGAACGATCCTTCGCAGTAAAGCACTATTTGAGCAATAGTGAAAATCAGACCTGAAAAAAATTTCAGGCCTGTACGGGATTCGAACCACTGACCTCTGCGATACTAGTGCAGCGCTCTACCAATTGAGCTAACAAGCCAACTGGGAGCAGGCCATCAAATTAATTCGATATAAACCCGTAGATGATAAATCAAACAACAACAAACATATGAAACATATGTGTGAACTGCGGTTATGAGACGTATATGAGAACGATCCTTCGCAATAAAGCACTATTATTATTATTGCTAATGAGTAGAGATCTAGGTGGATTTTTTTTCAAATTAACACAGAACAAAAAATGTTACTATTGTTGTTACTAGTATTAAAATGTCTCAAAAAATTTTTATTTCAAAATCCAAAAAATCCCAATAAAAAAAAAAGTAATGTTAACAATAATAATATTTTTACAAAGGTATTATTGATTCGAAAGCATTTTTAATTCCACGACCGTGCTTAAAATTGGCAAAAATTCTCAATCCATATCCTCAAGTTCTCTGTTGCTTAGTGTTTCAGGCCTACGACTTCCAAAATGGCAAAAAGTGAGGCTCGAATTCTAACTTTGAACTCAGATTTTTTCCCTCTATGGAGACATGTTTTTACGTAATCCTTAAAAAAGATGCTCTGATTAAACAAAGATGTTTTAAATGATTTTTTTTTCAGGACCCTCCTCCTCTTCTCCTGTCCCAGACGAATGTATATCTTACAACGTTTTCAATGAGCCAGGCAGATACTGGAGCAGTACCGGACATCCCTTAACATGCGATAGTAGTCTTGCTGGCTGGTACCGTTTCGTGGGTGCTGCTGGAAAAATGATGGCTACTCATTGTATCCCAGTGTATAGTTGCAACAGCCACATGGCCGGCTGGATCGGTGGTGGTGGTCATCCCACTGTAGCCTATGAGAAAGTTACGAGAACAGCATATATGCATTATAGCTCAAGTTGTCAATACTACTCTTATCCCGGGACGGAAATACGTAACTGTAGTGGATTCTACGTCTACAAACTGCAATCAGTGAGTGGCTGTTACCAGCGTTATTGTGGCGTTCATGGTGAGTGATTAATTTTAGGCACCAAGAACTTTCACGGAAAAAAAAAGCCACGGAGTCCCATTTTTCGGAATGTTTTTCCTAATACCTTAGGTATGGTTATCAATGCCAAGTTTAATAAAAATCTAGACATAATGTATTTGTTTCGGTAAGAGTTGAAAGTACTCTGATCAATCCTGATATGATGATAAGGAAATTTAGCAATTCTAATGCTTGTAGGCGCTGTTTTCTCGTTTACTTATGATGAGTTGGTTATCGCTGTAATTGGTTAACCCTCCGTTAAGTCATTTGTTAATCAGGATGACCTCTCCATGAACAGATGAGAACGACGCATGCTCTGCCGATCCTGGCTCCAGGGTATGTTCCTGTCCACCTGGTCATTCAGGTACTCCTTGCCAAGGTGCGTGGGCTATTCAAATTACTTGATGGTAGTCATTTACTCCACCACTAATTAAGTATCTTGGTGCAAAGTCTTTTCGTCCAGAAAATAGAGTATTTTTTTCCTCTCATTTGCTACGTTTTGTTATTTTAGTGTAATGCCCTCCCAAGCCGCGCTTTCTATCAAAAGCATGGCACTTGCTCATAAAATGAAGAAGATTAGGGTTTTGTGTCAGTCCCAGTTAAACGAGAAAGTTGAAGGAAATCCTTTGACCGATTAAGACGATAAATGACCAGAGGGTATGGTTATGACGATTTAATTAATAATAATAATAATAATAATAATAACAATAATAATAATAATAATAATAATATTTTCTCGTTATCAGACAATAATGAATGTGGCTTAGGGACCCATAATTGTCACTCACAAGCCACTTGTTCCAATACTCCCGGAACCTTTACCTGTTCTTGCAAAGATGGTTTTACTGGCGACGGTGTATCTTGTAGCGGTAAGTTAGTTTTGACATATAATCAAAACGCCATGCTGAAATATAGGGATGAGGTCTTGTATGTACGTTCATCATTATTTTACATTTGGATAAGAAAAACAACAGTGAGAAAAAGTGAAAGACTTCAAAAGGATGATAGCGATCAATGGTGTTATAGCCGCAGCATTACGTCGAGAAATTTCAAGGATTTTGGTATGTTAAGCTGATTGGATGAACCACTCAAGATGCTGAAATAAATAAAAAAAATCTAGAAAACCATGAAAAACAACGACAGAGGAAGGAAGAGATCATAAATCATTGGTTTCTGCTGTGCTGTTATCTTTCGAAGGCATGAGGTATAATCGAAGATGAAAAATGAACTTTTCTCATACAGGAGTTTAAGGATTAATTGCCAATTGCCAAAAGCGGATTCGTCGGCCGGTGCTTGGTAGTGGAGAACTAGTTTAAAAACTTTTCGACCGTTCCCACAACATCCCAAGTGGGAAACTACGGCTTATTGCTTTCATGACATGAATATGAGTGAAGATTGTCAGAGAGAAAGAGGAATTTAATCTTATTTTGTAGACAATAACGAATGTACCTCAGGGACCCATAATTGTCACACACAAGCCATATGTACTAATACTCCTGGAACCTTTACCTGCTCTTGTAAAGATGGTTTTACTGGCGACGGTGTATCATGTAGCGGTAAGTTAGGCGTGACATATCTTAAAGTCAGAAGTAGGCAAGTTTTAGAATTTCAAATTGTGAAATTGATTTCGAAGAACTTTAACTTTAAATTCTTTAATAAAGTCACGACAAAAACAGCAAAATCGAGAGACAAAAACATCGAGCCGTGTGCACTGATTTAAACACCATCCAGGCAAAAACTTGGAGCTTTTCCTTCTCGGCTAGTAGTTTGTGCAACACTAAACGGGAATTTCTGTAGTTCTTTCATTTTAAGTACGCAGCGAGAAATAAACAGAGCAACCAATAAGTTAAACTGACTTTGAATGTAGAATTTGAAAATGTCAATAAACATCGTTGTTTCTGGCGTTTTGAGCGTTCTCTTTTCCTCCAAACCAAAGGCGTTAAGCAAATTAAAATCTGTGAATTCGTCCCGTGTAGTGCCATTTCCTTAGACGGGAAGATGGTACAGTTTTTATGGGACTAAAGGCAAATATAAAATAGAACTTTGACCAATCAAAGCTTGTGTTGTGTCCAAGTTATGTTACAAAAAAAAAAAAAATAATAAAGAATTAAAAATTTCCTAGTTATGAGGCCACTGCCAACAAAGTCAAAGATTTTGCAATTATTCAAATGTTTCATAAACAGTTAAAAAAAAAAAACAACAACAACGACTAAAACAACAACAACATTATACGTCGTTTGGCAGCCAATCGTAATCCCTAGCCAACAAGTCACTCATTGTGTAATGCCTTAATTTAATTTTCACACGAAAAGTCAGTGTCATAAATGTTATATTTTGTGTGCATGAACTGATCATGTTTCCCTGGCGGCAGATGTTGATGAATGCACAGATTCCCTGCATAACTGTCATGCGAACGCTGATTGTTCCAACATTCAAGGCTCTTTCGGCTGTGCTTGCACTCAAGGATATTCAGGAAATGGTGTTACATGCATAGGTATGACAGCTTTATGATTTTTGCAGTCCATTTAAGCGTTACTGATGTCTTTGTCTCTAACAGAGTTTATTGATTATTTCATTAATTATTAGGGACCTTAAGCAAACCACAACCGCTACGTCAAAGTAGACATAAGAAAACAAAAAGATTCGATGGGCAGAACAATAGCTCAGTACGTGCTTTTACAGCTTGGAAAAGTTCTTAGCCGTTCTTTGCAAAACAACAATGTTAAACTACCAAAATTGGGGACAGAAATCACGACTTCATATTATATAAGTTCTTATTTGAGGTTCAAAGCTGCTCCAGCAGGTTTTGCAGAAGTTAAAGAGTGGTGCGTTAAGAGAAAGTAAAAAAATCCAGCAATTCGCAAAATTCGAACAAAAATGTACCTTAATTTTTTAATCGTCTTCCTTAGCGTTACCGTCCCGCCGACTGTATGTTGAGGTTCTTACTGATTACGGGATCACATGCGCTTGCTGATCATTTTATGTTTCCCGCTTTGTTCGGACTGTTTTACTTTCTGATATTTTTGAGGCAATACTAGCTACAGCAAAGTGGGTTTTCTAAGGCTTTGTCCCTTTCTCCACCCCGGAAACATTAGAATCACTGGAATATGTCTCTTTATGATTGCAGATATCGATGAATGCATTAGCGGTATTGATGACTGCCACAAAGATGCTGAGTGTTCCAACACAGAGGGTGCTTTTACTTGTAGCTGCAAAGGAGGATTCACAGGAGACGGCCGACAGTGCACAGGTGTGTTATCCTCACATTTCACTTAATTTCTTTTTTCTTTCTTTTTTTTACATTTTCCCTTTTCGTTTTGGTTTTTTTTTTTTCAAGTCTCGCCAAGCGCCAATTGACTTAATGTGCGTCGATTTCACTTCCTGTTTTAATTGCATTTCGCGAATATAAGGAAAAAATAGAACAAAACAAAACCACACTTTATTTGATCGATATACTTTATTTAATCTTGACTAGATTTCGACCAATTATGTTAACTTAAAGTTCCGAAATCACCAAAATATACTGGGAAACCTTTGCAGATATTCTTTCTTTTTTGAAAGTTAAATCTGGTGTCATGAGGTAATGCTGTGTCTGATTGCTACAGATATCGATGAATGCACAGATGCAACTCACAACTGTCATTCGAAAGCCGACTGTTCAAACACTTATGGCTCATTCAACTGTACCTGCTTTCAAGGATATTCAGGAGATGGTGTTACATGTACTGGTATGATAGTTGTTATGAATATTCTTAATCTACAAACATACAGCCAAACACAGTATTCCTCGATCTTTTTAATCCAGATGTTTGGATATCAAAACGTCTTTGCGGCTATCCAGATGTAAGTAATACCCATAATCACTGAATGATCAACAGAATAGGCAAGGAGAAGAAGAAGAAGAAAAAAAGAAAGAAACGAAAAAAAAGAAAGAAACGGAAAAACAAAAAAGAGGAACAAGTAAAAAACAAACAGACGAAGATATTTACCGTTTATATCGGCAGAACTTCCCCTTTTTTTAACAACTTCTTGATATTTCCGTCGACAACCTCTAGCCCTACCCATGATACTGTAGGGTATGTTGTAATGAATTAGAACTTTGAACTAAAAAACTCAATCCCACAGACATTGATGAGTGTGTCACAGCAACTCACAACTGTCATGGTGTAGCTCAGTGTTACAATAAGGAGGGCTCTTTCATCTGCGAGTGTAGGACTGATTACGAAGGAGACGGGATTTCATGTGAGCCCCTAGGTAAGTGACACATTCCTTCATTTCACTATCATAAATTGCAACCGGTAGTAACTATCGATAAACGCTTTTGAAAATTACATAGTTTAGTTTATGCTATACAGTTAATCTCGTTTTCTTGTGATTGATTCATAATAACGTGATTTATCCGTCCGTCAATTTTTTTTTTTTTACAGGAGATTTCTCTGTCATGATTAGGAACATATCCAAGGACAAATATTTGGCGACTATTGTCAAACGGTCTGAAAAAAGTATCCAGCAGGCAATCATAGAAGATCTTCCAGATAAACCTGTGCTGGAAAGTGTCATGGAATGGCGTTTGATCAGTGAACAGGAGTTAGCAGCATCCGAGTCACCAGTGGGAACATTAGTCAGTCAAGGAACTGCACAGTGGACAATAAATAGGAGATCCGTACCTGTTGGAATCTATCAAGTTAAGTTCACTGCATCTATTAAAGTCGGTGATTTATCTTCCTCGAATACGCTAAATGCTTTTGACTACGGCTTTATCAAAGTTATTGCAGCTCCTGTGCGAGCCATAATCGATGGGGGAAGCAGTGTTCTCTGGGGTTCTGATGACACGGTAACAGTGGACGGTTCCCTTAGCTATGATGGAGATATCGGTCCTGGAAACCATACTGGGCTGAAATTTACTTGGTCTTGTTATCAGCTTCCATATAATACTTCCATCAATGACGGTTACTCTGGTGCTTTTGAGGGAGACGTAACTCTAACGTCCATAGACATTACTCCTCGTGGACTTGTTATTAGAAGCCCATACGTTCTCAGGCTGACAGTGTCCAAAGGTGATAGAAGTAATTTTGCCGAAATTACTTTTGAGATAGCAGCTGGTGAGATACCTCAAGTTAGCTTAAGGTACTTTGAAATAACTACTTTGTTGTATTTTTTCCACAATTGCAGTCGTTATATGTACATAATCGTTTCCTTTTGTTATAGCCTGTAACATTACATTACAAAGTGGTGATTGCAGAAGTTTTGCTTTACCTTAAACCGATTAGACTCTCGAATCGGCCTCGAAGCATTTTGATTGGTTCAGGAGTTTGAACTGTTCTTACATCATTGTCGTTGCTGTTGCAGTTGTCTGCATATTATTGGAAAATAAATGATAACAATCAATGCAATTTAATCATCATATTTTTTTCTGTAGGTGTTTCGTAGATTGTGGTAAAATAGTGTCTGCTTCCAACAAGTTTCGAGTGACCTCCGAGTGTCTTAATTCCCCTTGTATTGGTTCAGAGTACAGATGGCAATTAATGAAGATAAATGACGATTCAAAGGAACTGGAGCTTATAACTATTCTACCCAATATGACATCAACAGCATTAAATGCTACTAACATGATAATAAAGAAGAATTCTTTGCAGTCAAGCTCAAAATACGCTCTGAACTTGACTGTAATACCTCCTGGTGGGACAGCAGGATTTGCAGTGCTTGAGTTTGAGACAGCTGGACAGCCCAATAGTGGATATTGCATGCCATCAGCCGTTGTAGGTTTCTCTTTGGGAACAAAGTTTTCATTTGAATGCTTTGAATGGCAAGATAAAAGTAAACCACTAACCTATGAATTCCGCCTTGGAGACGAGCCAATTTCCTATGGCACCTCCTCAAAATCTGTTTCGACAGTCTTACCTTCTGGGTCACCGGAAAACGATTATCAGCTGTCCATTAACGTCATCATCAAGAATGCTGTCGGCGTAGCTGTTGTAGAGAAGCTCTCCGTCAAGGTAATAAAAATAGTAGTAATAATAATAGTTACGATAAAAACAAAACCTTTATTCACTATAATCACTAAAAGTATTTACAAAAATTATGATAAAAATTGGCCCGCTTCGTTGAATAATGATAGCAATTATTTACAATTTTAAACCACATATCTAATTATTTACAAAATTTTAAGAGAATTAATATTGATGTTCACGATAGAGGACTGATTACAGTATATGAGAAAAGAAAAAACTTAGCATTACTAAATAGGAAAAACTATTTAGTATATATAATAATAACATATAATAATGGTAATAATAATAATAATAATAATAATTTTTTTATATATTTTTTTAATTTTAAAAAGAATTTTATTTAGCAATAACTTCCATAAAATCCTCTAAAATACAAAATATTAACAGCGTAAAAAAGGATCCAAAATAACTCACTTTCGGCTTACATCTACTCCTTTTTTTTTTGTCAAAGCGTCTGGAAAACTATAAATAACGGAGTCAAATCTGAACAGATTCAAAGTCTAATAATCTGATAAGTAAAAGCATATATAAAACTATACAGAAAAGAGAAAGGTGAATGGCAAATCTAGAACCCTATATACAAGGCTGCTAAAACTCATTAAACAATGTCAATGGCTCCCTCGGCATCTGCGATTTCAACGCCACAATTATTATAGCCACACGCAGCGCGGCGCTTCACCCGCGATCCTCGAAGGCAAACTAAGGCTGACCGAAGGAGGGCAAAGGATGTCTTTGCTCGGATCCAGGAAACTTTTTGCGAGTATAATAACAATAATAATAATAATAATAATAATAATAATAATAATAATAATAATAATAATTTTCACTGTTCATCTCCGGCGTTCATCCCGGATAGTGCAATGGCGTCGTGGACTGGTCGGACGTGTTCTAGCGAGCATGTTAGGACTTTCCCCGTTCAGAAAAGTCGCCTAGGTTTGGAGCACCGTATAGCATTTTAAAGAGTACCTGGAGTGCATTTCTAGTTGTTTAACTTAAAAGCGGGAATTTGGTGGGAAAGTGGGAAAACGCCAGGAATTTGAGAAGCTTTTTAGACTTTTAAACTTTTGTGTTTGTGGTTCTTATACGGAGATGGGTCGACAGGGGGGAGGGTCGAGAAATGGAACGAGGATCAAATGGACTGTAGAGATGAATGAGGCTTTACTGCGATGTAAGAAGGAAGCGATACAGCTTGCAAAGAGCGAAAATCCACCACGCCATGAAAATGGTAGAAAGATCGGGTATATGCAGTTGATGAAGAATGTGTGGGACGATTTGGGTTATCAGCTCTTGGCGGTGAGTAGCCAAAACCTGCGAGATCATGCTGCTGCTCTGGGAAAGACTTTAGGAGATGCCGGAAGTGATATTGTTAGTCGGGTGGGTAGCATAGCGAGAAGAGACCAGGAGAAATAAATCGAACAAGAGGAAAATAGTCGCCATGATATCGGTAATAATAACACCAGCGAAAATGCTAATGAGCTGCAGCCGACGGAGATGGCGAATTTGCATACGGAAACAACAGAAGACCAGTTAGCACTTTCCACGAACACCTTGACAGCAGACGAGCGTGAGCTGCTTGATAAATCAGCGCAGGTATTCGCACTAGTGCATTCACGTGTGGGGGACTACTCTAACCGTGACATAGACACACTGACCAAACAAAAGCCCACGCAAGGTGAGTTGAAATTTATTGATCACGTCATTAGCAGTCTTCATTAGCAGCGGAGCACCCTTTTGCGTATTTATGGCTGGTTAATTGTGTTCTATACTCAGTAGTGGTGTCATTCATGTTGTTGAAAGGTTGGAAAAGAGATAGCATGGATCGGATTGAAACTCGCGATAAGGGTGATAAGTGGAGGAAGAAATATCTGGAGGATGTTGGTAAAATAAGGAGAAGACTCTCAATTGCGACTTCTGAGCTGAGCAGGATTCGAGAAAATAGGAGCTTCACGAAGAAAGAGTGGAAAAACAGGGCCCAGCTCCAGAAGAAATGTCACTCACTTTCTGCTACTACGCTTGTGAGCTACATTGAAACGCAAAAGTCGCTGTTAAGGAAGCTCAAAGCATGCTATGGCTGGAAAAGGAGACTAGAAGAATCCAAAGTTCTAAACCGGAAGTTTAAGGACGATTCTGGCCGAGTCTATGCCATTGTAAATAAAATATTGGCTGATGATTCAGACAACGAGCGCCCGAAATACAGAGCGCCAGCAAAATCTGACCTGGAGAGCGGAATCTCAAGCATGTTTAACAGTGTAGCAGAGGCTGAAGGCTTATGGAGAGCGCTATGGGAGCAGCAAGGGAACGGGAACGAAAAAGCTGAGTGGCTAAAAGAGATCGAAGAAGCAATCCTCAGGTGTGTGCCTCCTTCATCGCGAGATGGTTGGAAGCTTGAAGCTACAGAAGTGGCCAGAGTGATCTCAAGAAAGAGAAATTGGAGCGCACCGGGCCCAGACAGACTGACCACTTATTGATGGAAACGCGCACGCGCACTCTATGGTGGCGTTACATCCGCTTTCAAGTCTATCTCAAGAAGCTAGACAGGGTTCCCGAGATGGTTTTCAGAGGGAAAAACAAGGTTAATTCCTAAGCCGGGCGAATTTACAAGCGAAAATCAACGCCCTATCACGTGTTTGAACACATTATACAAATGGCTCACGTCGTGTGTTTTGGGGCCTGTGAATAAACACATGAACCGATAGAACTTGATGGAAGCTCAGCAACGAGGGGCTAAAGTGGGATGTAGCGGGACTATTCATAATTTACTTATCGATCGGATGGTTATTCTGGACTGTCTTAGGCGTAAGCGCAACTTGAGTGTTCCTTGGATTGACCTGCGAAAGGCGTATGGATGAGTCGATTGGTCATGGGTGGTTGAAGATGATCATGCACGTTCATAAGTTTCCAATATGGATCTGCCAAGTCATTAGCAAGTTATGTGACAGTTGGAACACCAGGATTATCATCTCTACCAGCGAGGGCAGTGAGACATCGTTACCCATCTACTTCAACAGAGGTCCTCCACAGGGTGACGCTCTGTGCCCATGCCTATATACCTTGTGTCTTAATCCGGTTGCGTGGAGACTGAGCTCTAATGAGGGTTATAGGCTGTCAAAGCCGATCGCGTCCAATATTACGAACTTCCTCTACATAGACGATCTTAAAGTGTTCGCCGCCTCTGAAACGAAATTGAAAAGAGTGCTGGAGATCGCTCAGACCACGATGGGGGACATCGGCCTGCAGTGGAACCCCAAGAAGTGTAATGTTTTGCATGTGAGAAGGGGAATTACCTTACAAGATTCGGAAGGATACCTGATGGGAACAATGAACGTGGATTGTCTTAAGAAGGACTTGCATTATCGTTTTCTGGGAGTACCAGAACAGTTATTGCAAGATGAGAAGGTGGTTTTGGAGCGAGCAGCTAACACTTACCTGAGACGATTATCTGTCATCTGGTGAAGCCCACTCTCGGACAGCAACAGAGTGGTGGCGTCTGGCCAACTAGCGCTACCGGTACTCTCATACCTCATGTGCTCACAGCATAGGAACATTTCTGACTTAAAGAAATTGGATAGACAGGCTCGTAAGATTATCAGCAGTAGCGGTGGGAAGCATCCGCTTTGATCAACTTCTCTTATCTACCTGCCTAGAACTCTAGGAGGGCGTGGCCTGAAGTCTGTGGACACTGAGTACAAACAAATCAAGATTAAGTCAGCCATCAGGCTCTATAGTAATAACGACCCAATGCAACCATGAGCTTGGTGAGAGCCTTTGAAGAGCATGCCACAACACAAGGTCATCAATCTGTATTAAAGGAGTCCGCCAAATTCTCTGAAGAGTTTGGGGTTGCTCTGGAGCTCTCCTTTCCTGAGCCAAAATGCCAAGACAGGGACGGGCAGGAAGTACCATTGGATAAGCTTACGAGGCTCAGAAAGAGAGCTGTTACAGCTGAACGCGAAGATAATATCCAAGAAGAGAGGTGACAAGGAAAGTTCCTCTCGGCGAGGTGGGAAGACGACAAGCTGAATCAAAGGGGGTGTTGAGATTGGCTGAAGAGCTGGACGGAGGCACCCTTACACACTACTGCGGGGATTGTAGAGTTATATGAGCAGCTTACACCAACAAAGCTGTATACAGCGAGGAAAGTGAGAACAACACAGGTCGATGACATTATGTGTAGGATGTGTAACAAAGCACTCGAGAGTCTTCCCCATGTGCTGAACGGCTGCCCGGCTATCGCGCAAAACAAGTACTTGTCGAGACACGATGCGGCCCTCAAGGTCTTGTTTTTCGAGAAGCTGAGCGATTTGGAACTGATAGGTGCGGTCCCCCCTCGTACTCGTCGGTAGATCCTAAACCAGTCTATGAGTCCCAGGAGGCCAAGGCCTTCTGGGATGTTCCAGTGTAGCGGAGCACAGTTTTGTGAAGCAGAACAGAGCAGATGTGCGTTTCATTGACGTCAAGAAGAAAGAGGTGATAACTGTGGAGATGTCGTGCCCGGGGATGGACAACCGGCTGACGAAGATCGAGGAGAAGACTGCAAAGTATGGTCCTTTGAGGTGGGAGATGGCTCAGCAGTATCCAGGATACACCATCAAACAACATGATATCATCATTGATGTCCTGGGCGGATGGTCGAGAGATGTGGACGTGTCTATGTTAGAGCCATTCGGAGGCTGGGGAGAGGGGATCCTAAGAAAAATGCAGAAAGCGATCCTTTCGAACACCTTGAACATTTCAAGAACTTTTAAAATTATCCCTAGATAGCTAAGGAGCTCACTTTTATAACTTTTAGAGATTTTTCGTACCTAAGTTTCTTGTATTTATCAGTTTATTAGATATGTATGTGTATTTTATTATTTAATTTTTATTTATCTATTTATTTACGTTTTCAAATTTTGGGAAGATTCTATTCCTACGCGCAGCCTGGGCCACGTTTATCGCCGCAGTCCCCAGTCTGTGTATGATCTTATGGCAAACATAAGTTTTTACAACTGTCGGATAATAATAATGATAATAATAATAATAATAATAATAATAATAGTAAATTGTAAGCAGCTGCAGGAAGGTGACTCTAAGAGGAATATACTACCCATCTAAGAACACTATATAATTTGGATATATCAGCAAAGTTGAAATGGTAAATTGGCCACCGTAACGATTACAAAAGCTGACGTTTCGAGCGTGAGCCCTTCGTCGGAGCGAAGAACACTATATCCGAGAACTGATTGATACGTTGAGTTCAATAGGCTATGAACTCTTGGGGTAGATGTATCCCTCCACATACCAGCTAAAAATAGATTAAGTGACCCCTACGTGCTTCGAAATACACGCAACTAAAGGGATAAGACGGGGAAGGTGTGAGAGCCTTGAATAGAGCTCCGCCTATTTGCGATGAAATAATGAAAGGAGGAATCGACGTAAAGCAATCAGCAAATAAATAATGTTTCGTTACTTGTCCTCGAAATGTCCACGATATTTTTCAAGTACAGGTGAATATGAGCAAGCTTAATCATATTGCTGAACTAGGTGACATGCACAAAACCACTTTTGTAAAAGAAAGCTTTCGTGCGCCACTAATTAAAGCCTTTTAAAATCTGTCCTGTTTTCGAGGTGGTGCCATCATCTGAACTCGATCCCTGCCGTTCACCGGTAGAAGAAGTTTCCAACAAGTTGAAAGGTTTTGTCATTGGGGATAACAGCGACTTAGATGAATTTCTAAAGAAGGGTGAAATTAGCCAAGCCTCCCAACTTGCCATAACTGTTCTCAAATCAGCCGACGAGGAAACAGAATGCGGCCAAACGTTAAGCCTGGATACTAAAACACGGGTGGGTCAAGTCACCATAATACAATCGATAGCTTCTTTGAGATCAATCATGGATGAGCTGATAATCTTGAAATCATCAGCGGATAACTGGAGATTTTTTTGTTTGTTTGTTTGTTTTTTGGCTTAATTATTTTCTTGTTTGTATTGATATTCACAAACAAGCCTCCTATGCGTATATTCGTTGTTTTATTCTTGATATTAATCTGTGAGAACAATCGCAAATTCTGTTTGTTGTTGGTAAGCTTTTCTAGCTGGCAACAAATTTTGATCTTTAATATTCTGGTGTAGATTTCGAGTACGTTGATAGAAAAGTTCACCTCCATAAAGCCAGAGGACCTTCAGATGTCTCGAACTATTATGAGTGTAGTCAAACTAGCAGGCGGTAACCAAGAATCTCAATCTTGCAGTGACTGTGGGAATGCTGCGGTAAGAATATGAATTTTTTTTCGTGTCTTCTCTTCTATTCTCTTGCACTTGAATTGTAAACGTTTTTTTAAAATATATGAAATTACTTATCTTAATAGAATTCCTTTGTTTAGAATGAAACTATGAAACTAACGGATGCCACAACAGAATTACTTAAGTCTGCCCTTAGTGACTTAGAAGAGCCTTTTTCTGATGAACTGGAAGAATCGGCTCTGAGTATTACCGCTTGTCTAAAAAACGTTCTACAGTCTGCCTCAGGGTCGAGCAATGGAAGTGGAGATTCAAGGAAGAATATTGAATCTGAGAAGGTACGACAAAATTGATTCACAAAATGAAGTAAGCAAGAATAAGTTTTATTCTGTTACCCTGCATATGTCAAAGAGTTTTTTCAAGGAAAAATCTTATGTAAGTTAGCTGCAATTATTTGCAGGAAGATCAGAGTGTTTATATTAGGAGATGAAATTACCTGACAAAATATATACATACATATAAACATAGCGGTTATAAATTAATGACAGGAAGATCGTTTCACCATTACTCTGAGTTTCACGCTATTGAAACGCTCTGCAACCCGCATCGAGCACTTTTCACAGTCACGACTTCTCCTAGTATGTTTACATACATACATATATGTATATATAACTGCAGACAGTACTGTTTCGGTCTTCTGGGCCTCATCAGTGCAGTGCTGATGCTAGYATGGGGGAGAACCGATATGGTTACCCCAAACGATCCCACATTTGTGGTATCGTCTAAGCCATGCCAGAGTGCTCAAACTAGGAAAGCCTGGTGAGCTATATACATAGTCGTTAATGAAAAGAAAATTTGCCCTGAACAGGATTAGGGCAGATTTCAAACATTTATTCTGATTTCAAACATTTATTCTAATTTCAAACATTTACTCTAAATTCAAACATTTATTTTATTTAAGTATGATTATTTGGAGTGTACAGGGTCAGGGTTTCCCTCGTATACAGAATTTGTTTAATTGAAATTAGCCTGTATCCGTAATTGGATCCTCCTTTGTCATCCGCTAAGTTGACTTCGGTCGTGTATCTTTGATAGATCCTTATTTGGGTTTCATATGGGGTTATACGCTTACCCTACCCTGTCACCTTAAAAATTAAGTTTCCCGGGAGACCACGTCTCCGATCACGTAAATCACATCTTCGATTGCCGTGTTGCCAGCATGGTTGTCCTGATAGTGTAGTGGTCATCACACCTGACTAGTAACAGGGGGACGTGGGTTCAAATCCCGCTCAGGGCAAATTTTCTTTTCAAACATTTATTCTATTTATATATGTATATAAATAGACACACACACACACACACANCTACTCTGCCGTATACAAGCCCAACACAACCCCAAATTCCTCTAATCGCTCTGGCAATGGGCTTTCGTTTAACAAAATACGTTTTTCCGATTTCAATTCGCATTATCAGCACAGTTGATGGTAATGATAATAACAGTATCGTCTACCACTGCAGCACCACTGTCTCTTCTGAACATTACGCCTTTTGGTCGAAAAAGTATACCCTCTGTGTTTTTTTTGCAGATGAAAGCTGTAGACTTTAATCCGTTCAGTTGGGACAATAGCAGCAAGAAAGTGCAGTCCAGTGTCATTAGCCTTGAGCTTCAAACGGAAAATACAACAAAACTGAATGTCTCAAACCTCGATAATTACATTGAAATAGTTATACCTATCTCCACCCCACCTCCAAATACGAGCAACGGTACAGAGCATTATTTTCTAAAGCCAGAAAAATTGACCATGAGAAGCTACTACGCTGACCTAGCAGATGTACCTGTTTCCATAAGGGTGGGTGTGGCAGAGGAGGAAACAGTTAAAGTGTTTGTTAAATTTGGGTCAAGACCTACCACAGAGGACTCTGATCTCAACTTTACGGTAAAGGTCGCGTCAAAGTGCGGAAATGGGACAAAGAGTGAGGCCAACGACACCTCGTGTATTCCACAAGAGAGAACCGTTACTGTACTTCCTACCGAACCAGGTCAAATTTATATAGGTTTATTGTTCGAAGAATCGAAAAATACAAGCAAGCATTCCAGAGAGAGACGGTCATGTTTCGGCCATGGTCGCCAGAGACGATCATGTGTTGGCGTAAAAGATCCACCTCCACAAGGGATCCTTCAGACGATTATGCCTCAATTTAACCCAGATACAGATATTAACTATACGCTAAGTATAACTCAGTCAAGTTGTCTGTATTGGTCTGAAGAAGAGGAAAAATGGACATCCGATGGTTGCAAGGTGGGTTTCCGTCCAATTATGATTTCAAAAAATGAGAAAACAAGAGAACCAACCACATTACCCTACAAGGTAAGCTATATCCCTGTATGAAATCTATATCCATGAACTGATGGCGTGTCTTTCCATGGCAGGTTGACCTGGGCTCTAATACCACGCATCTTAAATGCCTCTGCAACCATCTGACGTCTTTCGGCGGAAACTTCATCCAAGCGCCTAATCCCATCGACTTTGACAAAGTTTTCACAGAGTTTGCTCGACTTAGCGAGTCAGGCAACATTTCTGTGCTCGTGACAATTGCATGTGCGTTCCTTCTTTACTTTGTAGCGCTTGTATTTGCAAGGAGGGCTGACAAAAGAGATGAAATCAAGGTATACATTTTAATATTCTACGTAATATCTATTTTCAGTAATATTGCAGTTAAGTACTTGCGGTGAGAAGTACGACCTTTTTCACTCGCATTCGTCCACAAAGAGTGAAGAGATTTCCAAATTTTAATTATAGATGGTTGGGTAAGAAAGAAAGGGAAAATCAGTCATCTCGCGATCCTTCTTCCTTTCTTTTCTTTCCTTGTTACGCTGTATACCAAAGAAGAGCTTCTTCTTTACCCTTCTCTCTTTATTATCCTTACATCTAAACAAATTAAAGACTGTATAAAACGATGTGAAAACGAATGAAAACTTTGTTTTCTTCTATTAAGGTAAACGTTTTCGCTGGAAATTTTAATAGGTTGGGCGGGGAAAGATATGCAAACGTGAATCTCACATTATCAGCTTAAGGATGTGCCTCTTTTGTGGGACCACCACCTGATTAACAAGATAAGCTTAATTGTTTTTGTAGCTTTTCCCACCGCTACAGATAAATCTTGCTGAAGAAGGAACATACTACTACGATATGGTTATTAGCACTGGTGTTTGGAAAGATTCAGCAACAACGGCGAACGTAACGATGACCATAAAAGGGGAAAATAATGAACACGATCTCATAGCTCTTCAAAAAAACGGAGATTTACAGGAAATCTTTAGTCGAGGAGGTATAAATGGTTTTGTTTTAGTTACAAACGGGTCATTAGGAAATCTAAACGAAGTAACTTTGGAACACGATAATTCAGGAGATAGTCCATCCTGGTTTGTAGAAACAGTGGTTATCAGAGACAGACAAACAGAAGAACGTTGGGTGTTCCCTATAAATAGGTGGCTTGCATTAGAAAAAGACGATGGGCAGATAGAAGTTAGTGTACAAAGCAAAGCAGCTACATCTTTTTCGGCGGAGGTGAGGTCGCGCTTTGGGAGAAAGATAGCTGACAGTCATTTGTGGATGTCAGTGTTTGGTAAAGCGTGCAGTAGTAAATTCACGCGCGTTCAGAGAGCGTCGTGTTGTTTGTCGATTCTCTTCAGTGCAATGATAGCCAATGCCATGTTTTATAATATTGGCGGGGAATCAGCGGGAGCAATACAGATCGGACCTTTCAAGTTTTCCTGGAGACAAATAGTCATTGGAGTACAGAGTGGTATAATAGTTGCACCTGTAAACATTATTATCGTGTTTCTGTTTAACTCTAGTCGAACGAAAAAGAAGAAGGAAGACAAGTACAAAGAATCATTTAAAGCACAACAGCTCGTCGATGAAATAAACGGTCAAAGCTGTGTGCTTCCTCATTTCTTTGTATACATCGCTTGGTTTCTCTGCTTTGTCACCATTATGACAGCAGCAACATTTACGTTATTTTACAGTCTGATGTGGGGTAAGGAAGTCTCTGAGCAGTGGCTGGCGTCTATCCTTATATCAAATGGACAAGACGTTTTTGTTATGCAACCAACAAAGGTCATGTTGGCGGTTCTTTTAGTTTCCTTTCTTTTTACGAGAAACAAACAAGCTCACGAGGAAGAGGAAGGTGTTGGAGAGGGTGAGCCTCTTACCAATGACATGGATTTTTTATGCGATAATCCTAAATAACGCTTTAAACAGAGCCTCGTGGAGAAAATGCGCATACGAAGCAGAAAAGAGGCTAAACTTGCAGGAATGGCGAGGGGAATTATCCTCCATTTGGCATTTGTGTTTCTGCTGTCTGTAGTCTGCTATGGCAACAAGAATGAGAATCGTTTCTTGATGACAACAGAGATGAAAAATACTTTCAGAAGCTTTGAACTGGTATGAAACACGTCATTTTAATATCTTTAAAATAAAAATCGATAAAAGTGATGACAGTGTTACTGGTGATGATAATATTGATACTGTTATGACGGGGGATGGTGGTGATAGTGATGATGATGTAATGGAGTCCAATTCGGTATCCAATCATATATTTATTTGTTCCTTACGGGTATGATTATAAAAAGAATTGGGTGACAAAAATTCCGGTTACCATTCAATAAGAACTGTCACTAACCTAAGAGAAACTAACTAGGCATCTGTTAGCACTTTTAATAAAAAAAAAATAACAACAACAACAACAACAGAAACAACGAATTCGAAAAAAACAACAAAAATGGTTAACCCGACGGAACGCGCCACAACTGCGCGCGCACACGACACCTACAGTTCAATTATTTCGACTATTAGTAACTCAATTTTTTTCTTTTTTTGACGAAAGGAAGGCCTCATCACAAAGTAATAAAAGTGAAGCTCAGTTATGTTCAGCTTTTGAATAATATGCAGGAAGGGTGTATTTAAAAGAAATTGATGTTCTGTTCCAATTTGAAAGGAATTTGATTTTCAGAAAAGCTGATATGAAAGTTTGGCCGGTGGAAATTTACTTAACTCCAAAATTAAAACAGAAACGAGAAAACAGCCAAACAATTTATATTCAGGAACCTAACTAGTGGTACTATGATGTCTAAAGTTTCTTTATTTGGAAATTATCTCTGTATTAATTAACTGAATCTCTCTCATTTTACCACACCTAATAGAGGTGAATGATGAACTCAACCCAGTTATGTGAACTCACTTTTGTGATCTGTGATTAGGTAACTGATTCTCAGAGACTTTCGAGATGGCTGACTGGGCAATTTCTGCCAAATGTGTTCAACCAAGACTGGTATAATGGCCTTGAAGAGCCGAAAGATGTTTACATCGCCAATAAGATGTCCATATTGATTGGCATGCCTTGGATGCGACAGTCGAGAATTCATAAAAGTACGTTAGATTATTTACAACTTTTTCATCGGACGGTATGGTTTTATTTTTATCCCGATTCGTTTCAAACTTGTGTAATTTCTTTATTCGTACTTTAAAGGTGTTTGTGAATCACTTCCTGGAACTATAACAGACTGCTACTACGACTATTCTCCAGAGAGAGAGGACACAACAGAGTTGAGTCTTCCAGGCTGGTGGCCACTTTCTCTCAATGCGTCCTGGCCAAAGGCACTTCGAATTTGTCCGAAACCATGGCGTTATCAGAGTGCTGAAACTCTGGACACTGGCCTTGTAAAGGCCGTATACAACACTTATGGTGGAGGTGGCTACGTAGCCGTCCTGGGATATGACGAGAAAACGGCAAATCGTGTCTTAAGTGAGACTTTTGGCAGCGGCTGGCTTGATCGAAAAACTCGTGCTGTAGTCTTGGAATTTGCGACGTTCAACATCAATACGAACCTTATCAGCATTGTCACGTTTATCTACGAGATGATTGCGGCTGGTGCAGCCTACTCTGTGACTAGGGTAGACACCCTCGAGTTGTACAGTACGGAATCAGGAGCTCTTATGTTTTATCTCATTTGGCAGTTTTTATTTTTGGCAATGGTATTATTCTACTTTATCATGATGCTGTATCACTTTTATCGACAACGGTTGGGATTTTTCAAGTCTGTCTGGAACATGGTTGATTTCTTGATGATCATCTCTTCTACAACGTCCGTGGCGTGCTACATGATGAGATCCAAGAAAATATTAAACAGCATCGATGCAATTAAAAAAAATCCTTTCGAAGTATTTCATTTTCATTCTGCTCTAAACTGGGCCAGCTGGGAAAACGCTTCTATTGCTCTTGCAATTTTTATGGTTACAGTGAAGCTCTTAAATCTGATTCGTTTTAATCCTTATGTCATATATTTGTTTTCATCTTTCCGTCGGTCTATAGGCTACCAACTTTCCTATTTGGTTTTCTTTGTCATAGTATTTAACGCTTTTGTCATATCAGGAATGCAGCTTTTTGGAGGAGTAGTTTATCATTATTCTAGTTATCTGCAGGCTGTCATTTCACAATTAGAATTTCTGTTGGGAAAAGCAGTACCAATTGCTGACCTTCGCAAAGATAAACCTTTCATTGGTCCAACTTTTGTTCTCCTGTTCATGTTAATGATGACCATATTTCTTATGAATATGTTGGTATCTGTCCTAAACGAGTCTTACACTGACGCCAGGGAAAACGCAGAAGAAAGGGCAGAAGAGCTTGAAATGGCGCGTTTTATTGGGGAACGTTTCATAGACTTATTCCAAGAGGGTAAAAGGCGACCTGAATTTAAACTATTTTGTGACGACGCAACTTTTGTGAATATGTGTCGTTCGGACGCAGAACCATTCTGTTTGAATTCTCAAAGTCTCCTTCAGTGCACGGAGGAACGATTAGGAACATTAGATAAAAGAATAAGCGCGCTTATTAGACGCACAGAGAACATCGATGGGGATGAACTAAACGAGGATAAAGAGTTTATTTCTCTCTTCGACTCAATGGTTAATGCTCATTAACATTAAGATAGGGTTATTTTTATTATGAGTCGGGCTTAGCATGAAATAACTTCGTGAGATCTTGATTCTTCGTCTCGTCATCGATCAGCTCTTTAATATTGAGGTACTGTAAATAATTTGGTAGCAGAAACATAAAAGCAACCTCACAACAGTGACTTAGAACAGTGCTAAAGCCCTTTTGATTTCCTCCATACATCCACAATGATTTTGGCGCTTGTACAACTCCGGCTTATCCAGCTCACAATCGTAATGCTACTTATGAAATGTCCACATGATTTGTCCAGCTGAGGTATCGAAAATCTGGAATTTACACATAACATCGACCAAATATTGTCTTTTTTTATTTAACTATAACTTTAAACAGATTTCATTCAAGCAAGATAATTTTAATGACTCTAAGATGATCATTTACTTTCAATTAATATAACGTGGTCAGATGTATTTTAACTTAACATAACCTGTAGTGACTGGTAGTATGCTAAATTAGATAACGTAATTAGTAGCAGTAGCATTTCTGTTAGTATAATATATTATATTGTATAAGTATTGTACTCTCCGCTCCAAAAGAATGTGTCCTCTCTCTTGAAAATATTCATAAAAAAGATATCAACAACAAAGTCTGTTCTAATATATTCTTTTTTTCTGAGATATCTTCGGTATTCTTCTCTAAAAAGTGATAAGAAGATAGTAATCTTGATTCGAATCGAAAGGGGACATCTAAAATTGTGGCGAGAAGGTCGACGAACACGGGAAATGTTCCCGAATAAAAATCTGTTCGAATGACAAGTAATCGATGTTCTAATAAAGCTCTTTTCGTAGTTCACGTGGAGGATGGCGTATCGAAAGAAACTTAAGGTGCAGAAAACTTTGGTCGTCTGTCTAGAAATGGCGTATGGGTTTTTAATCAGTGACCAACACATGTACTTGCCTGACTGCATTTCTGTATTAATTTAACTGGACACTAAAGGTAAAAGACAGTTTTTGTTTAGGAATTTTTCATCAATTTTTAGAACTATAAGAATATCATTTTGCCCCAATGGAGTTTAAACTTGATTTTGGTTTGAGGTTTAAGACTAGAAGGACAACTAGAAATACCAGATTGGAGTTGGTTGGAGTCTGCGATTTTCTATTCATATTAAGGACTTATTTACCAGTTCAACCAGAAAGAAGAGCACATTAAAACTGAGCTATTTTCAATGGATATAAATTGATATTACCTTTTGGACGTTCTTCTAATGGATCACTAGAGCAACAAACAATCAACTAATGAAAGGATTAAGAATAAATTTACCTTTCTGTTTTTCTATCTCGTTTTTCCTCCTTTCTTTTTTTGCCATACAAGAGAACTCAAGTGACCCGTTATACTTATTTCTTTGATCTAAGGAATCTAAGCAGATTATATTTGGGTGAGGCTGACTTACACTCCACTCGATAAAGTACAAGGCTTCCCCCATCCCCCAGACCAACAACGAGACTTAAATTGGATTTTAAAAATATGGTTTAAGAGGCAGATAGCACCATATCAGTTTAGAATTAGTTTCTGACTCCTTTGAACTCGTCAACCTCTGTGATATTTAACTCAAAGTATTCAGTGGGGAAAACCCCAAAGCACATTTAATGGTTGAATTTTATTGTTTTCACCTAGTTTTCAGTCACTTTTTATTCAGTAAAGAATATCGGAGCTTTTGGTCAGTTTACCTTTGCGACTGCGTCCATCTCCATTGTATTCAGGCTTACATGTACAGTTGTACGATCCCCTGGTATTAATGCACACAGCATCAGTACTGCAGTTGGACGTTCCGTTAGCACACTCATTCATATCTGTGACATTTACAGTGCAACTCAATCAGTTGAAAGGAAAAATACCTAACTTAGCACGCGACTAATTTGATCATTTATTTTATTGAACCTTTTATTTTCATCGTCAAAGGAAATAGTCAAGTATGCTGTGTACATTAATACCAGGGGATCGTACAACTGTACATGTAAGCCTGGATAATTGCTTTTGTGTACCTTCTTGGTATAAAAAAATGATACAACAAAAAATAGAGAAAAAGAAATAGAAAGCAAATGAGTCTATCAGTCGAAGCCAGTCCTTTTTTTTTTCATTTTTTTCTCCTAATTTGAACTTCTCCTAAACTCTTCCATTGTGGCTCACAAAATGATTTTGAGTCATAAAAAGAGGTGCTAACATCTTTACTATAACAGTGACAACGTAGAGAAGCGTTTTACCTTTATCGCAAGTCTGACCCTTGAATCCACCGAAACACAAACAGGAATAGTCTTTTCCATCTAAACGTTCTTGACAAGTGGAGTTGTTCTTGCAGGGATTTTCAACACAAGCACTTTGGAGAATGGAGAAAATACACTAAACACTCTTTACCCCTACTTTATAAGCCTCCCACGTCTGGAGACGTGAATTCGTTATAGGAAACGTTCCAAACACAAAAACTCTATGCGCTACATGGAGGTGGGTGACCCAAGATAAGCGAAGTAATTCACCTAGCTGTGGTCGAAAAATAGCTCGTGTTTACATACAATCTTCCAACCCCGGGATCCTGGGGTGAAGTCGCTAAAAGTTGTTCTAAATGCAACATGAAAACGACCACTGTTAGCCGGGTTACCGTACCTGTAACCCGGCTTGCATCCCTGACCAATTTCTTCATTTCATGTCTCTCCTAAATGAGGCAAACCAGCGAAAAATGATTCAGTCAACACCGAAATAAAGAGAAATGAGAATAAAAGCTATACTTAGAATTAAGAGATGGCCCATCATCGCGTTTTTTGCTAAACTAACTCCTCAGCAGAATGGTGAAAGTGTGTTTCGTCCTCTTTTCTCTCATCTATGTGTCCTTCATGAGTAATCATGAATATTATTCAATTCACAGTTGCATTTTCGCGGTGTTTATCAGGATTTTTTCTGAAATAGTCGGGCATTTAGAACTTGGTCTCGCAAATTCCTTTCAGGTAACCTAGGTGATGTGATTTAGCTGTCATTTTCAGTTGATCATAAAAATAACTTCCAACCTTAAAGTAATAGTGATGCGAACTCTTGTTTTCTTTGTATTCATTGGGGTTGCTGTCTCCCTCAGCGGCCAGGTTCACGGAGACACACAGAGGATGGCGAAGGTATTTCAATGTGCATTCAAAGTCGTCGTATACCACAGTTTCTTCAATATGAGTAACATTCAGATAATGAAAGTTATCCATAGTAAGGAGACTCTGCCTAGACATCTGTGATGATGTTACTGGTATATCGCCATGGTCTAAGTTGAGCGCTGCTGTGGGTTGAGAGTAAACGAACCTTTATTCTATTTTTGACAAATGGGTTTTTGGTAAAACAACTCTGACATCTAAAAATAGATATTCTTTGATACTTACTCAGGAGCATAGAGTAAGAATGCATGGTGTTAGTGTACTCGCATTTGTCGTGAATAAGTGTGGATAATAACAGTAATTTTGACCGACACTGAAAAGCTATAAAAAAAGATATTAGTTTTGCCAAAAATGAAAGTAAAGGGAGTGAGAATAAATATGATAGATGAATCCGAATGAATTTTACCAGAAAATAACATTATAGGAGGATGAAGACGAGTGACTGGTGTAAATTAAAATAAGAAATTGGTTTCGTAGCGTAGTTTTTATACTAAAGGAAGATCCCATCAACTCCTGACAAAAAATCGACTTCCTGCATCCTTTTAATCAACAGTTGTCGCCTGTCGACTTATTCTTTTTTGGTTTCTTTAAGCTCTTTGTTTGTCTTCCAGTTAATAGACTGCATTGCCACAAGTGGAGGACTTCGGCGATGCATCTGCTGATAGTCAGAGAAAAATGCGTAATATTGTCTCAATTACGACGTTTGTAATCGCAAACTCACCAGTTAATACTAGCGAAAGAATCCCTTTTTACATTCAAGTTTAATGGAGGAAATTAAACATAACAAATGCTGCTTTTGATCGGCAAGAGTATAAGCTCTAAATTTAACAAATTGAACGGAATTGCGAAGTTTCCAAAGTAAATAGCGAATGAGAGATCAAGCCAGCTAGTGCGGCTGCCTAGCAGTGGCACGTTTTAAATTTCAGCTCACTTTAAGGCCACGATACCAAATTTGTTAGGCCATGGTAGGGAGAGGCTAAGCTACCAATTTTGGGAGAATTATCACAAGAACTATAACAATGACTTTTTGCAAACATCAAATAAGGCAGACGAACTCTCTCGGAGGTTTTCTCTTTAAAAGTTTGTTCTTTTTCTTTTACAGCCGAATATATCTAAGGTTCCATACTAAGCATGATTTTTTTTTTCACAGTCTGTGGCACTAGTATCGCAGAGGTCAGTGGTTCGAATCCCGTACAGGCCTGAAATTTTTTTCAGGTCTGATTTTCACTATTGCTCAAATAGTGCTTTACTGCGAAGGATCGTTCACATATAAGTCTGTGGACATTATTGACTATTTCTCAGAAGAAAAGTTGCCGACTACATGTACCATACTATAACTATAACTCAAGGATGAAAACTTAATTCAGAAGACCATAGTAACTTTTTACACAAAGGAATGCATAAATACCGCGAATTCACTCGCCTATGCCTCGTGAGTTCACAACATTTTGACCTCAGTGTTAACGTATATCGTTGTCGATAAGAGAGTACAGACCACGCTACACCACTGTCGAATTGACACTCAAACATTTATGCACCCGAATTTTAATCATTTAAGCAGTTAAGAGAAGCTGAAGGAAGCAAAATGCTGCCTTTAAACTAAATCCCATTTCGAAGAAGAAGAAAAAAGGAGTAAATGATCCTTTGACCCTAAGAGAGACTTGCATGTAGTTTCTCCTTACAATACGGCTACCCCTGAATCAAACATTAAGCAAAAGAGAATAGAGGAAATGATCATCAAACGGGGAAGCTCTTGATTTTGAAATAAATTCTCCTGGTCAGTACAGTTAGGAAATAAATAGGGAACAGCATGGAATATATGCATACTGATGTTAGAGTGTAAGAGGTTAAGAGGCTGTCGGCATAAGAACCGACCACTCCAATTTCGGCCGATCACAGAATTCCCTCTAATTTTTACTGTGACATATTTGATCTATTCTATCAGAAAAAAGTTGTATTTATTTGGTTTGTAATGCTATTTTATCAAATTTTTGGCAACGAGATGTGAGGACGGTCAAAATCGAAGAAATTTGTTAATTTCCGCATTAATTTTCAGCGTTTCGCTGGAGGCTTTAAAAACTTACGCATTTGTTCAAATAGCATAAATCGGACATGTACTACTATCTAACATATTTTCTATTGATTAATAGCAAAATATGTAAATTCTGACCAAACAGTTAAGATAGACGCTGCTTTAAAAATATCACACAAACAGCACTTTCCAAATTTGAGCGAATGTGCTGATGTTCCAAGACGCTTTTCTCAAAAGTATATCGGAATCTGGAGTCCTCACCACTATCCGTGTTTAGTGCTAGGGCTGGTGTACCGAAAACAGCAAAAACATTCTTAGCAACTAGTCTTTTCGACCTACAGGAGCTCGATGGACTTTACTAATTTTCCACGGTCAAAGTGCATAAGACTTAATTTATGCATATTTGTGGTTACTCTATTTCTCGCTCAAAATCAATATTTGAGGCAGTGGTTATTTTCAAACCTAGTACGGTTGTTTTTATTAAGGTGAGGATGTCCATAAATCCATCCAAACTTGCCCCAAATTTAGCAATTACGAAGGTACAAATGAACATCTTCCGTGTGACATTACGTTTAACTGTCTCATGCAGGCTAAAACACGTTGAAAAAATTCGAAATAACAGGAAAACTGAAGAAAAAAGGCAGCAAAACCGAAAACCGCATGCAAACCTGACAAAACCGCTACATTTTCACCTTTAAGCCTGGTTCACTTGTGAATAAAGGCTGATACTTTCTAAAGAAACTGTTTGGGGCTGCGTCGGTTGGGGTAACGAAATAATTTGGATATATCAAGAAAGTTGAAATGGTAAATTGGCCACCGCAACGATTACAAAATCTGACGTTTCGAGCGTTAGCCCTTCGTCGGAGCGAAGGTCAGTGGTTCGAATCCCGTACAGGCCTGATTTTTTTCAGGTCTGATTTTCGCTATTGCACAAATAGCGCTCTCTACTGCGAGGATCGTGCATCATACGTATGAAGATCAGTAAGTAAGAACTTCGATGTTGGATTTCTTGTTATCCCAAATTCTCAACTACACCGTGATTTTGAGATCACTTTGGGCAAGGTCTCATTTCGTTTCTTTTAAGATGTTTTGTTTTACTTGTCACTGTACTAAAATGTATCCCATGGTTTTGATGTGTTTGCCTCCATTATCTGACGATTCGTGATTCATTGCCTCGTTTCCACTCGTGTTCGAGTCGTCGTCATGTCCACCTGTACCAAAGCCAATTCTGGAATTACAGCTGTTGCAATCGTTTTCATTGTTGTTGATTATGCCAACTCTTGCTTTGGAACCACCCTTGTTTACCACAGCATTAAACCCCTCCATGTTACAGTTCTGCTGTAAGGAGGCCGTTGGACCAATCAAGGATTTCCACTTGTCACGACCAATTGACGTGGGGCGGTAATGCCCGTCAGCGATCAGTGCGTACAAAGAATCGGCGCCCGTTTTAATAACGATAAAATTTAACTGGTCATCGTTCCTCATGCCAAGGCAGATCTTAGAAAAAGGAGTATTCCAGTACGTTGGTAACTTGGTTTCGTGTAAATCAAAGCCAGTCCTTCCTCTGGGATTATTGAACTCCATTTAATAATAATAATAATAATAATAATAATAAGACTTTATTTATTGAGGATAGCACGTGATAGTGCACAAACACTAATAAACTTGTGGTCCTCTTAATTACAATAAATATATAAATGCAAATACAATAGAATCATTAATATATTAAGATTACAAATATAAATAGAAATTTAGCTAATTACAAATAATATTTAATTGATAAAATATATAATACAAGATAATATAAACAAGTAAGAATATATAAAACTACTATCAATAAAATTTACCGATTAAAATGAGCTAAGCATGATTTGTCATCATAATAATATTTAAATACGTTGTCTTTAAAGGCCTTAAGTGTATTAGACTTTTTTAATTCAGGCTTTAACTGATTCCATAATTTTATGGCAGAAACTAGAAAAGTTTTCCCTCCTTCTCTAGCCCTTTTAAACTTAGGTAATAAAAAGTTGTATTTACAAAATCTAGTGTTGCGTGAATGTACTGAACTTAATAATCTTAAGCTATCATTAAGATAATTAGGTACACAATAATTAATCCTTTTAAATAGTATTGAACATTTAGCTATCTTAGTAGAGTTATAAAATGGTATCCACTTTAAACGATTGAATAGCATAACTGATGAACTACGTGGTTCAGCATCTAATAAAACCCTAGCAGCTCTCTTTTGTAGCCTAAGTATTCTTAAAAGAGATTCATTAGAGCAAAGTGACTGCCATGCAACATTGGCATAATCAAATAATGGCTTAATCAATTTTGTTAGTCCACAATTCTGAATCATAGTGGAAGTTTTGCTGATCAGGAGAAAATTTTAAGATGGTGTCAACCCTTCGGTGTTACAACAACAACAACAACAACAACAAAAATGCCCCGCAAATATCGCCCAAAGGCATCCAAAATGTAAATCGATTTTTGCCATTTCACAATTTTCTAGAAATATACTTCTTCATGACAGTCCACTTACGATCTTACATTACGAGAATGGGGACAAACATAAACTGAAAACAACAGTGCAAAATTTAAAAATATAGCCTGATTCTTTGGTTAAGGAAGAAAAAGAACATTTTTTTTCCTAATTGTTCAGACAGATCGCAAAATAAGGGACAAAGGAAGAGGAAGTCCAAAGGCAAGCGGCGAGGGTTGCTAAACAAGAAACAATCCCTCGTAACGAATTTTTATCATTTAAGACGACAACTTTCCAAGGGTTGGATATTCAACGTGATTTCAAAGCACAATAAATTCCAAGTTTGAGGCGCTCCATTCAAATGACCATGCATAAATACACCTTTTACTGTTCATTACGAGAAAATAGGCATTCATTTGCGTTAAAAGGTGAGCAATTGCGTGAAATTACAATTATTAGAGACAAAAAACCCTCATTTGCACGTAAATCAGAGTCATTAACGATATTTGCATTTTAATCAGCATTCACTAACAACGTTGGGCATTCTGATGCGTCATTCATCAAACAAAAGAGAAAAATATACTTTCATTTGAGCTAACATTTAAGTCATTTACACCATCTGGAAGGTCAATAGAGAGCATTCACAAATGATATAGTACATAAACCATTCATTAACATTTTTATCACACCGTTTGCAATTAGCAGTACTGGACAGCATTAGTATGAATAAGACAACATTTATGCGCTTGTACAAACAATTGAAGGTTTTTTTATTTTCAATATTCAAACATCGAACTCCAGTTGGAAAATACCTATTCCACGATTACTTTGTTTTGAATTTCAGTTTACCCTTCAGCAATCTCTGTATTCAAGCATTTTGGCAGCCGTGATCGCCGCTTTCAGACAGCTTATTGCCTACTCCGCGATGTTTAAGAAAGGACTGTAGGGAGGAAGCATTTTAAGCTCTGTGTTTGTGGCGGGAATGACTGGGTTTCGGTGGGCAGGTGGTCCGTCATACACAAAGATTGCCTCCTCGTCGGGATCTAGCTTTGTCCTCGCCTGTGCCAGAAAGTTATCGAAACGCGTACCATTCATTCTGCCAACAACTGCTGAGGAAAACACAAGTCCATGGATGGGCGAAATTGCCATGGTCACGGTAAAGTTTCGTCCTCGCTGGCCGCACACTTAACGGTACGCCCTATCTTGCTGCCGAGCTCTGCCGTGGTTTCTGGCCGTTCAGATGTTGTAGCCACATTCGTCGACTAAAATACGATGGCGCACTACGGCATGGCTCATAAACCAGGTGGCGTAATCGACTCGCTTGTTCAGCACATCGTATCTGTTTCTGTGAGCAGGGAGGAGCCTTGCAAGTTTCACTCGGGAGAGCAACTCGTCTAATGTCCTTACCCCGGTGTGGTCATGGACTTCGGGTTTGAGTGATAGTCGTCTCCTCAGTTCGCTGTTTATCCGGGCAAGTGTGAGTAAACAGTTTTCGTTGATGACTTCCTCTAGGCAATCTCTCATCTCCTCATCCACGCGCACGTTGTTTCTACCTCCTCGTGGTATTTCCTCGATCCTGCCCTCTTTGATGTAGCGCGCCATAAAGCCTTTTACCGTTGATCGGTTCACACCGAACGTGTCCGCGACCACAAGATAATCTTCTACCTTGTCCTCAAATCCTTTCATGATTCTCTCTCTGTGTTCGAGTGGTATTCGGTTTCTTCGCGGCATTTTGCCTGAGGTCAGAAAACCTTCACGAAGCGAATGAACAGAGCGAAATCTACAGAATGCAAAATGAGTTCAATTGCATATTGAATATTTAAAAAAAACACTGAATTGTTTCTACAAGTACATTAATAATTGTCTTATCCATACTAATGCCGTTCAGTGATGCTACTTACTTGCAAACAGTGTGATAAAACTAAGAATTTTTTCATCATGTGCTTAACGTGCGTATATCGAGTTCTGGATGCACGCGGGAAGTTTGGAGAGCACGAAAGATGCGTAAGAGTAGCTCGAGGCTGCGCCTAGCTATTTAAGGACTCTCCAAAGTTCCCGTGTGCATCCATAACTCGATATACGCACAGCTAAAAGCACGAACAAGTTCTTTTATAACAGAGCGACGACAAGGATCTGTGCGAAGAAGCTTTTTTATTGTGATAGAGTACAAATCTCTCACCACGCACAAAAAAGTAAACAAACATTCCTATTGGCGGACCCAAACATACTTTGGTTTAAGCGAGCGTATTTGATCCAGTTAATCGATAGCTGTGAATGCAAAGCTCAAAATTAACGGGAAAAATGAAGATAATTATAGCTAAATGAAGTCAAGTGTCACTGTAAAATGCTTTAAAACTCAATGATCCGACAAATTTGCGAAACGCGCAACTTGCGAGTTTTTTTCGGCTTTGTTTTTGCTGCTTGTTGGATCAGGATCTAAAAGGTCAATGCCGATAGAAAAATTGGGCAGTTCTACGCTAGTTTCTTCCATATTTCAAAGAGAAGGAAAACTGCACTGCAGCTTAACAGGACGGCAAGTCTGCAACCAGGTTAAACAAAAAGAAAAGCTCACGTCATCATATTTACGCACGGGCGTGAGTAAATAAAGATTTTGTTCATAGCGGTTGAATAGGACTTAGATA